GGATTATTCTAGTTTTGTGAAAAATGCTGTTGGTATTTTGATAGGGATTACATTAAATCTGTAGATCATTGAGATGATAATATGGTTTTCATCCTTTCTCTTATTGATGTGATGTGTCATGTTGATTAATTTGTGAACATTGAACCACCCTTGCATCCTAGGAATAAATCCCACTTGATTGTGGTGAATGATTTAATATATTGTTGGATTTGGTTTCCTAATTTTTTTTGAGGATTTTTGTATCTATGTTCATCAGAGATATTGGCCTGTAGTTTTCTTTTTTTATAGTGTCTTTATCTGGTTTTGGTATCAGGGTAATGCTGACCTCATAGAATGAATTTGAATTTGGAAGCTTTCCTTTCTCTTCTATTTTTTTGGAATAGTTTGAGAAGACTAGGTATTAACTCTTCTTTAAGTGGTTAGTAGACTTTACCTATGAAACCATCTGGTCCTGGGCTTTTGTTTGTTGGGAGTTTTGTTTCATTGTTCTTGGGAGTTTTTTTGATTGCTGGTTCAATTTCATTGCTGGTAATCAGTCTGTTCAAATTTTCTATTTATTCCTGATTCAATTTCTGGAGGTTATATGCTCCTAGGAATTTATCCATTTCTTCTAGGTTTTCCAGTTTGTTGGCATATTTTTCATAATATGCTTATAATCCTTTGTATTTCTCTGTGTCGGTTGCTCATCTCCCCTCTTTCATTTCTGATTTTGTTTATTTGAGTCCTTTCTCTCTCTCTCTCACTTTCTCCCTTTTTGATGAGTCTGGCTAAAGGTTTATTAAGATTAATTGATCTTTTCAAAGAACCAGTTACTGGTTTCATTGATCTGTTCTGTTGTTTTTTTTTTTTTGTTATGTTTATTTCTGCTTTAATCTTATTATTTCCTACCTCCTACTCAGTTTGGGGTTTATTTGTTCTTTTTCTGACTCCTTTAGGTATAAGAATAGGTTGTTTGAGATTTTTCTTGCTTCTCTGTATTGCTACAAACGTCCCTCTTAGAACAGCTTTTGCTGTATCCCAAAGATTTTGGACTATTGTATTTTCATTTTCATTTGTCTCCATGTCTTTTTAAATTTCCTTTTTGACCCATTCATTGTTTAGTAGCATGTTATTTAACCTCCATGTATTTGTGTTCTTCTCAGACTTTTTCTTGTGGTCGATTTCTAGTTTCATAGTATCATGGTTGGAAAAGATGCATGGTATGACTTCAGTGCTTTTAAATTTGTTGAGACTTGTTTTGCGACCTAATATGTGATCTCTTCTGGAATATGTTCCATATGCACTTGAAAAGAATGTGTATCCTGCTGTTTTAAGATGGAAGGTCCTGAATATATCTGTTAGTTCCATCTGGTCCAGTATGTCATTCAAAGCCACAGTTCCCTTATTGATTTTCTGCTTGGGTGATTTATCCATTGATGTAAGTGGGGTGTTAAAATCCCCTTCTCTTATTATATTACTCTCAATTACTCCCTTTATGTTTGTTATTAGCTGCTTTATGTATTTGGGTGCTCCGATGTTGAGTGCATAAATACTTACAACTGTTAAATCTTCTTGTTGGATTGTTCCCTTTATGATTATATAGGGTCCTTCTTTTTCTCTTGTTAAAGTCTTTGTTTTAAAGTCTGTTTTCTCCGATATAAGTATTGCTACCTAAGCTTTCTTTTCACTTCCATTTGCACGATAAATGGTTTTGTATTACTTCACTTTCAATCTGCATGTGTCTGTAGGTCTGAAATGAGTCTGTTGTAGGCAGCATATAGATGGGTCTTGTTTTTTATCCATTCTGTCACCCTGTGTCTTTTGTTTGGAGTGTTTAGTCCATTTTGCATTCAAAGTAATTATTGTTAGGTATATACTTATTGCCATTTTGTTACTTGTTTTGTGGTTGTTTTTGTAGTTCTTCTCAGTTCCTTTATTTTCTTGCTCTTTTCTCACAATTTGCTGCCTTTACTAATATACTTGGATTCCTTCTCTTTATTTTTTGCATATCTCTTACCAGTTTTTGATTTGTGGTTAACATCTTACACATATAGCAGTCTGTATTAAGTTGATGGTCACTTAAGTTTGAACCCATTAAAAGATCATTTTTGAAAAGTTTATCTTCCACATATGTGACTGTATGACATACATACTTTGTATAAGTGAAGATAGGACTGTCTCTTACTGCAGCATAACAGCCTAAAAGATCAGTAGCTTGAAACAGCATAGTTTATTTCTTGTTCATATTCTAAGTTCCCCCTAGATCTGCTGGGAGCTCTGGTCCCTGTCATCATCACTCGTGGACATGGGCTGATTCAGTCTCCACCATTACCAGAGGCCAGAGCAGGTGGAAGAGATATGGGGAATTATGTATTGGTTCTTAAAGACTTTGATATTTATTGGCCAAAGGAAGGCATGTGGCCTTAAGTAACTTTAAGGGGCAAATGCGTAATCCCACTATAAGCTCAAGTAGAGGAGAAGCAAAGCATATATAAATAACCCTAATTATTAGCACATACCTACCTAACTTGCCTTTGAAAGTAATCATTAAAAGGCTTTCAATAAAATCCTATGCTTCCATTTTATGTGGTCTTATTTCTTCTAATAATTACTAAATCTGTATTAAGCTTTAGTCTTTGCACCCTTAAAATAAAGATTCCCAAGTGACCTCCCTAAACATCAAAATGTAGTATTGATTGTGGTGATTTGCCAGTGCAATGGTTTCAACTTGGGCTGCACATTAAAATCATCTGGGGAGCTTTTTATTCTTCCAGGTCACATCTCAGACCAATTAGAACTTCTGATGTGGGGCCCAGGCATCTATAGTTTGTAAAACTCAATGTGCAAATAAAATTGAAACCCTTTCTGCTATCTTCCCCAAAGAGTGCTTTGTTGTTCAAAATAAAGTGGTAGGGTGCCCCCAGAGAGAAACTTTATTAGGGTTTGAGTATAAGGTGAATTGTTCTTTTCTGAGAAATAATTTGGGGCATAACACCTTGTATCTTTTATATTTTGTGTTGTATGTTATGTTATCGTCTTTTATCTGGCTCTGTTATCCTCACATATGAGGGCATATATTTTCTTCTTTGTTGGTGTATCTGGTAGTTCTGTTTTGATTCGTTTCCCTCTGTGGTTGTAATTTTTCCATAGGAGCTAATCATCTGAAGGGAATGTGTGGAGTATGGAATTGAATATTCTGGGCGATTTTTGCCTTTGCTTAATGCTGGGCCCTAGGAGTTTCACCATTCTGGACCATTTTGTGAGCCTGTGTGTTGACGTAAATTACAAAAAAAAAAAAAGAGGAGGGATTTAAATATTTTGTGTATACATACATCACATACAAAAATAGGCACAGATACACATGTGTACACACACACACACACACACACACACCTTGAACAGTAGGGAAGCATCCGAAGGCTTTAGGGCAGGGAGGGGCCCAGAGAAAGGAAGAGACTTGTCCAATACCACAGAGTGACATAAAGTTAATGAAAATTTGTCTTCCCACCTCCCCCTGGCCTGACTGGCCTGACTTATCCTCCATGTATGAAGGTGTACGTGTTGGAGCATGTCTAGGATGGTCAGGGATTACTTGGCATTTGCTTGGAGACGCAGGGCGGGGGTGGGGGGGTCTTGCTCTATTTTCAGTCTATTTTCTTCCCTGAAGTCAGCTGTGGCCCTTCCCAGTCAACTCTCCATTGGTTTGCAGGGCCCAGAAACTGCTGAGCACACACCGGAGTGTGGGTAATCGTCACTTTCCCAGCTCCCCAGAGCCATAGACTTGTTTGTGGATTGTGACCCACAATTCCCTCTATCCTGTGCTTTCAGAAAGCAAACCAGCAATCAAATAGTAATTGTTTCCTTCTGTGTGGATATTTCCTTGCGAAGACTGCCGTGGCAACTAGGAAGCTGGCTCTTAGAAGGGTGGAGGGACCTAGATTTAGACGTCAGGACTGCCGTGTAACTGGGGATGCGGTGGCCGTATTGCCCACATTTTCCAGCAGAGCCCTGATTCCTATTGGCCTTATAAACAATCCAAGTGCCCTAGAAATTCCACCGCCGACACCATATTTTCTGAAGTGTGTTTTATTGCTGAAAGAAGCACAGAAATCCTTTGTCAGACTGTGTCACCCCAGTTTTTGGTCTGAAAAATAGACCACTGTGTTTATGCAAAGAAGACTTTTTGTTTGTTTGTTTAAACGGTGAGGTTCAGAAAGGCAAAAACAGTCTTGTTTGGGACACTTGAGATTAGAAAGAGCTGACCCAGGCCAAGCTGTCTCCCTCTTAGCTGTTCCTCCAAGCACGCAGGCAGGTAGTCAGATGCCCCTTCAGCATGGGGGCTGGGGGTGGGCAGGGGCCAGGAGGCCAGGGACCCTGGCCTCAGAGCTTCACAGCCCATGGCAGGGGGGGAGGAGATGTGGATTACACGGTAACTCATACGGCTGTAAAGTGTGAGTCCATAAGGGGATGTAGAGATCCACCCAAGTGGGAAGATCCAGACAGATTCCAGTCCACTGGAAGCGCTCACCAGGGCTGGCACTCCATCACTCTGACGCAATCGGGGCCAGCCCGGAGTCGGGAACCACTGTAGGAGGAGAGGAGATGGATGTACATACAGGGAGGGGGGCCTTTTTGGTGCCATCCGTGCAGAAGGCCCTACCGTGTTAACTTAAAGTTAGGAATCTAAAGGCAGGAGGATGGCAGCTCGTTGTTTAAGCTGGCGTGTTTGGGGGCAGGGTCAGGGCTGGCTGTGTTCTCCCAGTTGTCTAGGGGTGTGAGCTTCTGTACATCAGTCTCCCTGGGCAAGTCGTCCACCTTGGTCCCAACTCTTTCTGGCAGGCCCAGTCCAGGATTAAAGATGGTCTCTGCCAAGTTTGCTGTGTGAATGGTTCTGCTGAGGCAGAAGTGGTTTTCGAGGGTTCCTATCCATCTCACAATCTCCTTTCTCTTTGCTCTTTGCCAGTTCCTTGCCCGTGGCGTCCACCCTTCTTACCAAGGTTCCCACCTCTCTCTCGTTCCAGGCGCTAAAACAGGTGCCGATATCCGTGACGGGAGCTGTGAGCCTGCACTGGCCTCCCCGGTCTCCCACACGAACCCCTTTCCAGTGCTCCATCTCGTTGAGGACTTGAGACTGGCCCTGGAGATGCTGGAGCAGCCTCAGGAGAGAGCAGCCCTCCTGAGCCAGATCCCGGGCCCCACAGCTGCCTACATAAAGGAGAGCTTGGTGAGTGGGCCCATGGCCTGTTCGGAAAACCCCTGGGGGACGTAACCACATAACCACGGGGCTTACGGAATGCCACACTGCCTGGGACTATTACCTCATCTGTGCACCTTCCAACCTCTTCTTGCTTCCCATCTGGCTTTGGCCAGCCCCCGCTGGGTGGTCTTTTCCAGCAGGAGGGGGAGCCCCAGGCCAGCAGCTGAAGCCGCATGGTCAGCCTGCCTGTGGGCTCCAGTCATGCTCTCTGAGCCTGGGGGACATCCAGGGCCAGAGGAAAGCAAGCAGGAGAGTTCGTCCCTGCAGGAGTACAACTTCCAAATTATGATCCCCAGGTGGGGTCTCTATCCTCAGCTGTCCCGCCTGCTCCATGTCTCTTACAACAGCTGGTCCCCTCACCCAGCCCTTCACTGCCACCCCTGCCCTTCAGATGTCCTTGCCCTGGTACGCTTTGTCCCTAGAGTGGTATGCCGGGTTCCTGATCCCCCTCCTCCTCTCTCTAGATCAAGGCTGCACATCTGCTAGTCTCTGAAGGAGGCAGATGAGTAACCAGAGCTGTAAATATACGGCTTTGGTGACCCGTCTCCTTCCCTGAGGAGACCAGCTGGTCAACTTTAAGAGCCTGGTGATATTCGGGAATGGGGGAAGGTGAGGAGCTTGCCCGCTGAGGAGGTGTCTAAGAATGTCTAAGACCATTCCAGGGCAGGAGGGAGGAACCTGGGAAGCTTGAGGGAGCATGTGATTGCCTGAGCGGAGTTTGAGGATGAAAGCCAAAATGCAGTCTTCTAAAGCTAGAGTCCTGCAGACTGATTCCAAACGGGAAAGTACACACCGAGGTGGGAAGGCAGGAATGGGCCCACTAAACTGGGAGGTAGAGGTTGATGTTGGAAACCAAGGAGGTTGAGACATCCTCACCCAGAGGCCAAGTCATTTGCGATGACAGGTTACATGCCAGATGTCCTAGATGACTTTCTGTTCAGGAGTCCTCCGTCAGTACAGTCTTCTACCCACGCCTCCCTCTGAACACTGAAGAATTCTTCATTATATTCATGTGGTACTCAATATTTTCAGTGTGCAGGCTGCCTGCCTGGTGTTCTGTAACATACCTACACCCGTGTGGTAGGGACAGTAGTGGCCTCCCAAAGACGTCTATGTGCTAATCTCCAGATCCTGTGAATGTTACCGTACACGTGTGGCCAGGGGGAAGGTAGCAGAGAGAATTAGGGTTGCTAGTCAGCAGAGTTTAAATACGAGGATCAAGCGGTGTGGGTTGTCCAGGCGGGCCCAGTGTAGTCCCCGGCGTCCTTACAAGTGGAAGGAGACAGTGGAAGAGTTGGTGTGGGAGCGGTGTGAGTCAGCCTTTCCAGATGGAAGCAAGTCAGGGAGCCCAGGGGCGGGGGGCTAGCAAGGTGGCCCTTCCCTAGAGCCTCTAGCCAGCGAGACCCACTGGGGACTTATGACCTCCAGGACTGTGAGAGCGTGTGTTTGCCTTGTTGGAAGCCACAACGTTTGCAGGCGTTTGTGAAGGCAGCAACAGGGAATACAGCTGGATGTTGCCTGGGGAAGGGTGGGGAAGCCGGAGGGATGGGTCTGTGGAGGGCCTGTTGCCATGTAGGTTTGAGAACCTCCTCGTGTCACCCCCAAATGAAGACTGTCCTTGGTGGTCTCTCAGACTTGTGCCACGACCAGACAGAAGGCCGCATCCGCTCCTCCACCCCCCTTTTACAACCTGTGGTCGGGTTTCACAGGGGGGCTTTCGGAGTTTCCTTCTGTCTCCCGTCCCAGGCCAGAAGGGTCTCTGCCTCCCTGGAGTTCCATCAGGAATTCTGGCTCTTCCCATACTTCCAGCTCTATGAGGCTGTGCCTGGCCTCTCTCCAGTCCCTCTGACCATCTTCTGCCCATCTGTGTGGATAGCTGAGCTTTCCAAGGCCCACTTTCCCCCGGGGTGTGTTTACCTAGCAGGCCCACCCCTCCATTCCTGCTCGCCCGACTGACTCCAGGGGCAGTATTTAAAGGGAACTTGATGACGCCTCAAGAGAATACTGGTCCTTAGACCCTCCATCTGAAACCCTGGCTCCAGATGCATTTTGGAACCCAGAGCTTACTAAACTTCAGAAGGGCAAGACCGTGCATCTATACCATAGAATATATTCTATCTCTAGCAGATATGGAGCAGGAACGCATTGACCTTTCTTTGGCAAAACGTATGAATATCCACATGAAGTGGGATAAAAAAAGACGATAAATATTCTCCTGTTAGCTCAGGTCCAGTTAGGCTGCCAAATAAGTTTGGCACCAACATTATTTCTAAAAACAAAACCAAACCAAACCAAACCTTTTGGTCTTCAGAGCTTTGGGGGTTTCAGAATGGCAGGTAAGGGATGGTGAGCTTATATGTGGGATGTTTGTGTGTAGAAAATAAAAACTTGAAACCAAATGTTGGATATCGGATGTCACTGCTCCCAATATCCATCGGCCAGAATTCTAAAGTCACTTGTTGACTCTCTCTGCCCTTGGGCTGGCCTGTCACCACGTGCCGGGGGCCCGTTGGAAACTTCCAGACAGAGCCTCCTCCACTGTTCCCTGAATCCTGCCATCAGGCTGCAGAGCAGTTTAGCATCTGGTTTTAAATGTCCCCTTTCAGCTTGCTCAGGACCTTTACCATCATAACCAAGAGATTCACTGAAGCAGCGTCCCCAGCAAAAGCCCAGTCTGCCCAGAGTATGGAAAACAGCTTGTGGTTTTATCCCTCACTGCATAGTTTACAATGATTACGTACTTCTACCTTGTATGGACATGCCTGAATTTGTGACCATTTCTCTAATACTGACATTTAGGTTCTTTTTAATCTTTCACCAATATATAGCTTTGCTGCAGAGAGTGTCCAGGAATATTTGTCTTTCTCTGTAGATATTTCCATAAGGTAGAGTCTTAAAGGTGGAATTAAATAGAATTAACAGACAAAATACAGGATACTCTGTTAAACTAGAATTTTAGATAAGCGATGGATAAATCTTAGTAAGTATGTCCCATGCAGTTTGCTAAATCTGGCAACTCTAATCCAACGGTATTAATATCTTTAAGCCTTTGACACATTTTTTCCAAACCACTCTTCAGGAAGATTTTACTCATTTATATTTTCACTGGCAGGGTTTGAGGTACATCCTGATCAACAACAATCACTAAGATTAAAAAAAAAAAAGCTTTACTAATTTCTTAGGGAAAAAAATGTATTTTTACTACTTTTGCATTTCTTTGCCTAGTGGAAGGCTAAACACTTTTTTTTTTTTTTTTTTTTTTTAGTATTCTTCTGTATGTTCTCTAAAGTTTTGATCTCTACCCTATCTGGAAAAAAAATTCATTTCCATTCATTCATATTTATATAGGCAGTATTGTCCTAATGTATGTAAATTATAAAACAAAGCCCCAAATAGAGAGTTTTTTTAAGTGTTAGGTTAAAAAAGTAGCACTAATCTTTTCTTCCCACACACCCTAGAGATCACTGTGAGTGTCCCTACCCCGCCTTGTTCATATTCTATGCTCTTCTCTCCTCTTCCTGTTAGGATTTTAGTGCTTTTCTTCTCTATTGACCTTTTCAAAGCCCTTTGCTTTATTTGTGGCATTTTCTTCAGTTTGTTTTTTAAATGCCATTTGTGGTGCTTTTTGAGACAAAACTTTAAAAGGATTGTAATTAACTCTCTTTCCTTTTTGGGTTTTTTGTTTTCCTTTTATCCCTAGAAGGGCCTTTCTTAACCTCAAATCAAATACTATTCACCTGTTTCTTCTCCAGTAAGTTTATGGTTTGATTTATATCTTAGGGTTAACCTGCAATATTTCTTAATGTGTGGTGTGAAGTACGGATTTAACTTATATAACTTACTAAAAATTTTTTGATCCAAAGGCAGTCGACATGGTTATTGGTTTTTCAAGGTGTGTTGCGGAAAACTGCTCATATTAAGATTTGTTGATCTGTTTTTGAGGTTCTTTACGGTGGTTGGGGGGAATGCCTGCCTTTGGAAAGGGTTTCCTGAACGTTGTGTTGCATTCAGAGTCTATTAGAGTAATTATGGCCATCAGTTACCTGTGAATGGTGTACTTTGCGGGTGGGTCAAAAGTTCATATAAACATTCCAGGATACCAGGAGAGGATGTGAAGTTTTGATTCTGGACAGAGACAGCCTGTCTATATTTTGAATCTTGCAGGCCTAAAGTCCTTTTATATTCTGGGGGCATACACATTCCATAGTGGGTCGTACCCATATGGAAATAGAGTCCAAAGTAGTGAACAGATCCACCAGTACTTTTTAATTGCTTTTAGATTGGTACTTATAGAAGACTGTGCCATTTAAATTATAGTCTGTGGACCAGCAACCTTGTCATCCCCTGGTAGTTTGCTTGCTGCTTGGTGTCTTTATAAAAGGGCAGAATATGCCCCCTGCCCCGCCCTTTTACCCACTGAACCATTTCCCAGTGATTCATATTCACATTAAAAGTTTGAGACACACTGCCTTAAACCACAGAGACTCAGTTAAATTATTTTTTAAAAAAGTACATGTGGCTTAGAATAGGAGCTAATAAGACAGCTTGAAGGATCAGGCAGGCAGCGTTTATGCCTGTGCGTCCCTTGTGTGTCTGTGCTGTTCTCTTTAGTCAGCTGGCTTTGCCATACCCCCCCCCGCCCTTACTGCTTGGTCATCTGTTGGCCTGGTGTGGTCCAGCTCAGCCTCGTGACCTCTCTGTCAGTTGGTGGTTCTTTCTCCAGAGAAGTGGCATAGACAGTAAGGAGGTTTATATGTCACTTATAAGATACCCAGAAGATGGGCGGTCCCAGGGTCAAATCAGTGGCTCTGGATGACCTCAAGGGCTCTGGCTCTTCCCACCTTTCTGCCCCATCTTCCTTAGGGGGTTGGTGTTTCCTCAGAGGGATCGCGTAACAGCTGCAAGATGGCGACTGCAGCTCCAGGCAGCATGTCCAGAGGTGGGACAGGTCTTGTCTTGTCTTGTCT